ATTGCAATACTTGGTCATATGTATATAAATGAAATATTCTTAGTTAATTCAAACATTTTCCATCAAGGTCTGATAATAGTTAAATAGAACAACTGTTCTGCTGACAGCCCTTGTTGATATGAATGGACAAGCTTGTGGTTGCTGTGGTAGTCTCCTGATTGACTACAATATTATTAAGTAGAATAGCTGAATTTCAAATGAGTAACCAATGCAGTTTTACTTTTGATGTTTAAAATGGTGTTGGTTGAATCTGCACATATCTGTATGTAGTATGTATGTCATCTTGCACATACATGTATATCATGACTGTACAAAACTTGCCCATCCATGGAAAAAAGACAGGGTATGAAAGTTCGTCAACTATGATCTTGGATATTCTTAAATGACCATCATTACAGCTGAATGATACTGAATTTGTATGTACTGTTCTAAATTAGATCAGTCAAATGAATATTTTATTACTTTTTGTGCATATAGTGTACACCTGGTGTAATGTTGCAATAGCATGTGATAACTTCTTCCACTTTATTCATACATGTATTAAACAATGTATATAAGAATGCCTCGGTCTTTCGAGGGATGGGTTGAGTTATTGTCGAAATGCTACTGGTCATCTGAGAAAATATAAGAAAAATAATTTTAACGGCCTGACGTGGACTTTCTTGCAGCCAGAATATGCGGACCATTATTCGTATTGAGCTACCGTTTACGTAGACTCCATTACAATTGACGATCCGTAAATAATATATCATCGCGAATTTACCATTTTGGTCATTTAATAGAAACGTTTAAAACAAACAATTTTAAGTAAAGTACAAATGAACACGCATTGTTTACATTACGGTGCGTCAAATTCAGGTATGTGACAATTCGTTACAAGTAAGCTAGTCACTGATTGGCTGAAGTGTAGACACGGATTTTCCTGTCTAAAAATAGAAATATCGGTCTGTCTGGGCAGAGGTAAGAAAGTGAGCGATAGTGGAACATTCGACCGATGCGCAGGAGAGCAAGATACAGTGTTAACCACAAACATTCGACCAACAATATTAACTTCAAAAAATCTAATCAGCATCAGAAAACAACTTAAACTAAAGCATCCAATATTTACATATATCCTGAAAACAAAGCATCAACTTATATAATCTTGACCAGACAAAATCAATCCACCATTCAACCAATGTCTTACCAAGCAGACATAAATCAACAACCAAGAATGCATACAACTAATTACAATCAATGAACCCTGACCAAGTAAGATCACCACAGTTAAGTTTAACCAACTTCAACAAGTCAACAAAACTCCCTTCAAAACAACAAATTCTCTTCTCAACAAAAAATAACGCTACACACTATAAGAGTGTCCTTTTTTAACTCATGTAAATTTCTCCCTAAACTTGCATATTTGCTAGTTGACATTTTACATGTACAAAGTGCTTAATATACGCACGACAACTGAGTTAAAATTAGCTTGTTTATTGAAATATGATACTACGGTGGCACAACGGTTACGAGTGTATGTGTTTTTATCTCGTGCGCACGAGCTACTATGTCGTGGCCACGAGTTACTAAGCCGTGGCTACGAGATAGTAAAGTCGTAGGAACGAGATACTATGTCGTGGCCACGAGTTACTAAGTCATAGCCACGAGATAATTAAGTCGTGATCAGGAGAAACTATATCGTGGTCAAGAGATAATATGTCGTGGCCACGAGTAACTAAAGTCGTGGCCAAGAGATGATTAAGTCGTGGTCAGGAGATACTATGTCGTGGCCATGAGTTACTAAAAATCTGAAAACAAAGTGATCCCTCGGAAGCATTAATTACAACAAAATTACAAGAGAATTACAGACTCGGTTTGATTGAGTTCGAAGTCGTGGCCACGAGATAAGTAGGTCTCGGAAACGAGATACTATGCCGTGGCCACGAGTTGAGTTACAAAATCGCGGTCACGAGATACTTATGTCGTGGGAACGAGATTCTTTGTCGTGGCCATGAGTTACAAAGTCGTTGCCATGAGATAGTTAAGTCGTCGGAACGAGATTCTATGTCGGGACCACGAGTTACAAAGTCATGGTCACGAGATAGTTAAGTCGTGCATACGAGATAAATAACCAATCAGATTACACTGAATATATATATATAAATTTTCCTAATTGACTAGACATTTGCTATAGTACAAGGATGCCCTACTTCACCTGTCTGTAAAATGCCATTTATACATGTTATTGATTGGTCTATGATTTTAAATTAGCGTAATTGTAACCCTAATTTGACCCATTGGCCTCAACATTATGAGGTGTCATCTACTGATTAGGAGCAATGATCTTTCTAGGTTATATAAACAATGGCTTATTCCTTCTAAATCATTCATCAGACAAGGATTTCACATGAAATGTCATGTTTACCTTGACCCTTGACCTTAAACATCCTTACAGGCTATCTATTGTCCGTGGGCATAGTCCCTGCCAAATAAAAAAAATAGAACTAATTCCTTCTCAAGTTATCGTAAAAGGTAAAAAGGCCGTTGTACGTACAAACTGACCAATTTCTTTATGAAAATTGTCCGCACAAAGGGCTATAAAAAGTTAAAATAAATATCTGATTTATTGGCCTTAGAAGGTAACTTTCTAATATGATATTTCAGACAGGTATCAAGTCTAAAGTGAACACTACAATATTTTCAAAGATTAGTGTTGCATGTAAAATTCAGAGTGTTATCTGATCTGGTTAATTATCTTGTGCACACGACTTAGTTATCGCATTCCCACGCCGAAGTAACTCGTGGCCACGACATAGTATCTCGTGCGCACCACTTAATTATCTCGTGGCCACGACTTAGTAAATCGTGGTCACGACATAGTATCTCGTGCGCACGAGATAAATAAAAACATACACATGTCATTTTTGTGCCACCGTATCGCTGTATGAAAACATAAACTCGTTTATAAAAAATAATATCTACATTATTCTGACAATGATGCATTTGCGAGCGATTTTGGACTGCTATGACGATTTCAATAGAACATAATTTATATGTAGGTACAAGTTTGCTACCTTTGCAACAAATAAAAGAACATATCAGTGAATAAATAACAAAAACAGTGTTGATCTATATGTGCTTTACAAACAATATATCAAAACAAGTATAACATGTAGTATCAGCTAATTTTATAATATTCTTTATTAAATGTATCATTGAGTAAAGGTTGTTAAATCATCTAAACACGTTTACGACTTTTACCGTTGACATACAATAAGATACCGATTGAATAAATGTAAATGAATACTTGATTTACCTGAAATATATTTTCCCAGGAAGAGTGGTATTATCAGTATTACATACAAAGCTGTAATCCATAGGCACATCAGAGACATAGCACTTCATAGAGGTAGTTATTAGCTTCAAGAAAAAAAAATCAGGTATGGAAATGTTTAAAAGATACACTTTGCTTATCTTTAAGTAAAATGTTAAAATATTTTGTCTTAGTTTAATTAAAGAACATACACTATATGTATGAGAATCTGCAATCCATTTTACAAGTCTAGTAAAGCTGGTCCTTTCTTAAATAAGAGAGCCATGATGGCCCTGAATTGCTGACCAGAAACAATTGTCTTTCGGTGTTCAAATGAATTAGCCAAAAAGCAAGTCCAGCTCAATTAAAACTTGCCCCTCTAGTTATAGAATTTCTCGACACTGATTAATTCTTTATAATAATAATTCATGAAGTGGCAAGTGTGGTTCATGTTAACAAGTATTTAAAGGATGTGATTCAAAAGCAAACATAGTATGAAATAGAAAGAACAAGTTGGTATTTCAAATTATTTAGAAATGCATTTTTTTTTATTTCTAGGTCTCGAGGTACCTAAAAGGGACCGGTCACATGAATTTCAGCAAACCTGAAAATAAACACTCTTTGGTGATAATCCATGTATCAGTGCTGTAGAAACAGATGTTTACAGATTTGTTTTTACGTTAGGTTCTTCCGGCTCCTAAAAGAGGCCACTCAGATTAATTTGAACAAACCTGATAAAAAAGACTCAAAGAATGCTACAAAGTTAGGTGATCATAATTCATCAATTTAATCAGAAGATGTTGAAAGGTTTTTTTTCTTAGCTTTAGTGGCCCTTAAAAGGGGCCACTGAAATTAATATAAGCAAATATGATAAAAGACTTTCTCAGAATGCTATAATAGACATAGTTAAATGATCATCCATTAATTAGTTTAGTAGAAGGAGATGTTTAAAGGTGTTTTTATTTTTTTATCTCTAGAGGTCCCTACTAGGAGCCAATCAAATTAATTTGAAAAAATTGATAACAAACGAATTAAGAATGCTTCACAAGTCATCATTTATAAATTAGTTATGTAAAAATAATATGTTTTAAGGCTTTCTATTGTAAGCTTGTTTGACCCGTAAAAAGAGCCTATTGAAATGATAAGTGACCTTCTAAAAGATGCGACAGACCTTATTTGAAGTAAATTTGCCAAGCAGTTTCAGAGAAAATGAATGTTGACGCATGGTGACAAACATATACATATACAAACGTATGAGTATACAAGAATTTGGTATTGAGTGGTTGATTACTGAGGCATTGACTGCCATGCTTAATATCTTTACATGATTTTATCATTGAATTACAGAAGTTACAAGTTACCGAATGTCAATAGTTTTATCAATATCTGGTAAACATTAACAGTAATAATTCCTCAAATATCAAATTGTACAAACTAAGATGTATGCGTTAAAAAGTAAAATACTACATAAATTATTGTTTTGAATGAAAAAGGTATAAAGTTTGTCCCTAAATCACGAGGTTGAATCATTTGAAATAAATGAATTTGTCCCATGTATATTTAAGAACAGTCAGTCATCAATATAAGGAATATTATGAATTCTGATGTTGCCTAATCAGACTATACAAACGTCCAGAGAGTTTGTAAGTGTTCTGCAGATTTGGTTATAATAAGGATTATATGAATTATATGATACCGACATACTTACCGATCTTGGAGTTTTAACTTCGATCATTAGAACCTCAAGTGAGCGCTGTAAGTCAATAAACCAAACCTTTGTCGATTCTAAAATGGAACAAAACAATATTTAAAATAATAAAATGATAATCACTTTGGCATTCATTTTTAAAGCCTAGGCTCGTACAAATTTGATTACGAAATAACGTCGTCTAAACAAGGAATACATACTCTAAAGCTTGTAATAATTTCGTAAAACATTAATTTCAAGACACATACTTGAAAAAAAAATACAGGTAAGTCATACATTTATATGCTTTTACACCTGCTGATTGATTATATAACGTTTGCAAATTCGTGTCCTGTAGGTCTTAAAGACATGATGTTAAATAATCCTACCTCCTTCATATAAGAGCGAGAGATTTCCCTGATTTAGAGTTAACTCTGAAATTTATAAACAAAACACAATGAAAGCTCAAAAAGTATTACAACTTAATAAGATATTAATTATTTCTTTCAGAATGGATACGATTCTTTATCACTTAAACTAGCATAACGAACATGTTTTTTGGTAATAGTTAAAGTATATGAAACGATTTAGCTACCAGGATTTAACTCTGGCTGGGGCGTCATCGATGGATGTTTCTGCTAAGACCAAGACAATTTTTGTTTGCAGAAACATACCGAGAAGTCGCTAATCCAAACAGTGTTATATCCCGTAACTAACGAGTTTCATATTGAATAACTGTTGTATCGCAATTTCGTAAAATTGTTTTGCAAAAGAAAAGCATATGCACTTCTCCCTATTGTACCCTTTCACTTTTGATCAAATGAAAACCCCAGATAAAATGAAAAATGCCATCTAATGCTGTCGTTAGCTACCTAACAGCTTTTTATAATAAGACAGTTGTGTGAAGGTGTTTTCGCTGCCACCAAATAAAACGAAAGAAAAAAGAATAAAATAAGATATGCAACCATTGAAAATGTAAAGGCGTCAAATGTAAGAGACGGATAGTTAACTGTTTCCTTGTGCAAAAAGTAATGTTGATTCAAGATTTAAGTACTTTTCAAGTTGAAATAATTCATACAGAGGATGTACCTTTTCATTTTAGCAGTTGTATACATAAGAATACATTTTATTTCATTGATAATCTTGTTTAAAGTTTTCGGAATGTTCGAATGCACAAAACAATTTACTCATGAAACTATTTTCTGTTAATTCAGGTAAAACATTTCTCGTAAATAAACGATACTCATCTAGTCTTTTTCAAGTAAATGGCGCCTACTAATTACTGACCAATGAGACATTTCAATATTATTAAAATGTTTGTGTTTATACATTTTAAAAGACGTTGTTTCATTGGAAGGATTAAATCATTTAATTTGATGTTCATCTGTTCGCTTATATGGCTAATACATTTCGCATGTTCGATTTACGGGCGAAGGTGTTCGTTTTAAAGGCGAAAACGGTTACGATAAGTTTTTCAAGTACTTTGATACCATATACCCGAGATATCAAAAATAACCATTCAAATAACACGGTATGAATGATACTCGACATCTTCCGAATGACACAGACTGTGTTAGCTAGTATCTAATATTAACCTGTTCGGTTCAAGGGCGAATTACCCTATCGATGCCCCATTGTGAAAAAACTCCATTTTATATATACATGTATACAAGGTGCGAATTAAACTCAACTGTTATAAATCAATATTACATATGAAGCAATGACAAACATGCACATCTATATATCAATACAGTTTTCAAATATTCATTGAAGTATACTGAGTATAATGGGTAAGTAAGAACAAAGAAAAAGTTCCAAACCATGCGATAACTTGTAGTTAAAAGTTGTGCACATCACTTATTTTATATAAACGTTTATGTCGTATTTTGTAATGACTGATACAATTGTAAAACCCCGTACATTTAATTTAGATAGTGGAATAACAAGTACATTACAACCATATATAAATGAGATTGATTTCAATTAATAATTAGCATGACTACAGATGTTTAACCCCTCCAAATACATTAGAATGGACTTGTCCGTGTTAAAATCTGGGCATGATGTTTTATTACTTTAGAGAAACTGTCAAATATGCTGACTAAACAGCGGATAGTACAGATCTGGATTTGATCAGACGGCCACAAGCTGTTTATTGATTGTTAAACAAAATCAAAATAAAGAGAGGCGACATGTTTACAAAATTATTTTTAATTATAGTTTGATGTCGGGATAAATTGAAAATGGAAAAGTGTACTGTAGGTACTTTATAGAAGATAATAGAATTGTAAGGAAGCCATACCTGTTGCCGATTCATAATCAATGTTTGTAACTGAAACAAAAATCAATTAAACAAACAAACAAAAACACCATTAACATTTGCACATTTATTGGAGAAACATATTATTTTTTTTAAATAACGGCACATGAAGATCATATTTTAATCCGTTTTAAACATATCATTTTCTCTTATTATTCACAGAGCACACAGTTTACACAACGTACATAAACATTCTTAAATAGTTGTTTATATTTTGATATTATTATAGTTATATATTATTCTTAGTAATGGTGGACCTTAAGACATCAAAGACATAGAATTTTTTTTTCGATTAAGGTAAACAAGCTTTTTATACTATCTGAGGGTGTAATTAGCAAGAATAAGATATGCTTTAAAAAAACGCAATAGACGTAATTGTAAACTGAAAAAAACCCCATCTCGTCATCAAGTATATAACCAATAAAGAGAATGTAAAACATAAAAGTACGTAAAAAACTTTAATGCATATATTTCTTTGTTCAAAATAAAACTAAAAACATACCTTTTGGGTTATAAAAACAAGATGTTAATTTCTGAGACACTGTTGACATGTCGAATTGGGAGCAATTTGTATCTGGATCCTGTAATGATTTAGAAGAACTTGAAACTAATACCAGTGTTATTTTATTATATGTACATGTGCAATAAGCCATTTAATTTATTCATTACTGCATGAGCATTTTGTGAAAAATGGCTGTTTTTTATTGAAAAGTCTCCCTTTACAAGTTCGAATTGCTATAAAACTATAAAAACTTTTTCAATACTAATCAAACTTGGCACAAATGTTGACTGGACAATTGCCTCTGTAACAACATGCTCAGTCTAAAATTTCCGGTTACAATGGCAACGAGGGGACATCTCAAAATTGCCAAAATCACTATTTTGCGTTAATTTTTTTCCATCAAAATTGATATCAAAGTGCTGCAACTTCTCTATGAGTTCAAATAGAATCAAAGGCTTTTCAGCGTTGGTTACACGTTACCTAATGCTCGACCTTGGGTAATTTCTAGCCTCTCACATGTCCAAAATTTTCTTGCCGATGAGGGAGACTGCCGCCCCTTCCAAACCCCTAAACAGAACGGGGCACACACCCCTTCTGACAACCCTCTGATGTACCTTTTAGATGAATAGCGGCGCAGAAAAAAGTGCTCACATTTTTATCAATATTTCGCAAAAGAAAACATGTGTGTGGGGCCCAAACGAAGACATTTTTTTTTTCACTATTTGGGTATGTTTGGCATGACGTTTTATTCCGCTATATATTGAAAAATATTCTTTGTCAGGTTTTCTATTATGCAAAATACTAAAAATTCTTAAATTCTTAACATTTTGATAACCCTATTAATTGGGGAGGGGGGGGGGGGTTAAAAGTGTGTTGTTTCGCGTATATATGAGGTAAAGGGTTAAGGATTGCACAAAATACGAAATTCAGTGTTTGAGTTTACAACTGAGCCTTTCCTGCCACCAAACTTTCGAGAAATGAGATGGTATTTATATTATAAGAATGACACCAACAGCAATCCACTTTTTTGGCTTATTTTAGAAATATGACGAAAGTTCCTTGAAAATGAAAAAATATAATTATATATTCATGGTTCTTATTGGACATTTAATTTATTAAACACATGATAAAACTATTGTATTTTACAAATTATATATTCGTACACGTGCTAATTGCCAGTCGATGTTAAATGTGAATAAGATTACATTTCGACATGTATATAAAGTCAGTTACCTATTCCTTATTCCTTTTTCGAATAAGGAATCAGATTCTTATTCTTTTTTCGAATAAGAAATATGAAGCTAGTTCCTGATTCCTTTTTCAGTTCTAAATAAGGAACAGCAGAATTAGTATTTATATAAGATAAAATAATTGTTGATCAGAAAACTAGAACGGTTCTTTCTTTCATAAATCTGTTTACATTTGCAGAAGTCAATCAGCAAAATCATATCATAAAGCAACTGCATAAAAATATTTTGAAAGAAATGTCAATGTCAAAGTCGAATAAGGAATAAGGAACCAGTTCCTTATTCCTTATTCAACTCCGATTGAAGTTCAAAAGAAAATACGTTAAGAAACACATCAGTTGCGGTTATTTTTAATAAACCTGCATCAAATGAATGTTTTAAATCATTGCATAAAACATACGCATAAAAATATTTTGAAAAAAAAATGGAAGTTCATTCGACTCCAAATAAGGAACAGATCTAAATGCGCAAAGAAAGACATCTGATTCAGTTCTAGTTATCTTTTATAAACATGCATAATAATTGCAAGTATCAATCATTAAAATTCTGTCATAAAGCATCTGCATAAACATATTTTGGAAAAAAAATGTTCAAGTTCATTCGACTCTGAATAAGGAACCGAAGTATATACGTTAAGAAAGACACCGGTTGCAGTTATTTTTGATAAATCTGCATTTGAATTGCAAGGATAACTCATAATCATTTCATAAAGCATCTGCATAACAATATTTTAAAAAGAAATGTTAAAGTCGAATAATAGTAAAGTAACAAGCTCCTTATTCCTTATTCAACTCTGAATAAGGAACACGAGAAAATACGTAAAGAAAGACATCAGTTGCACATATTTTGATATACCTGCATTAGAATTGCAAGGGTCAATCATTATAATCATTAAATAAAGCATCCACATAAAAATATTTTGAAAAAATTGTTCAATTTCATTTGACTCCGAATAAGGAACAGAAGAAAAAGCCTAAGGCACAAGTCGCAGTTATTTTGATAAATCTGCATTAAAATTGCAAGGATCAATAATTAAAGTAATTAAATAAAGCATCTGCATAAAATATTTTGAGAGAAATTTCATAGTTGAATGAGGAATAAGGAACAAGTTCCGTATTCCTTATTCGACTCCGATTTATTTCGACTTTGACAATTGTTTCAAAATATTTTTATGAAGATGCTTTATGCAATGATGTTAATAATTGAAACTTGCAAGCCTAGTGCAGATTTATCAGAAATAATTGCAACTGCTGTCATTCTTTGTGTATATTCTGTTCCTTATTTGACTTGAACAGTTTTCCAAAAAGTTGTATGCAAATTCTTTATGCAATGTTTCAAATGATTGGTCTTGCATATCTTTTGCAGATTTATTAGGAATAATCGCATGAGGTGTCATTTTTGTGTATGTTCTTCTGTTACTTATTCGGTGTTAAATAAGGAATACGGAACTGGTTCCTTATTCCTTATTTGACTTGAACATTTTTTTTTTTCAAAATATTTTTATGCGGATGATTTTATGCAACGATTTTAATGAATGATCCCTTGCAATTCTAAAGAAGGTTTATCGAAAATAACTGCAACTGATGTCTTTCTTTACGTATGTTCTTTTGTTCCTGATTCGGAATTGAATAAGGAATATGGAACTTGTTCCCTATTTCTTATTCGACCTTAACATTTTTTTCAAACTAATTTATGCAAATGCTTTATTTAAAGATTTTAATGACTGATCCTTGCAATTCTAATGCAGATTTATCAAAAAATATCTGCAACTGATGTCTTTCTCAACGTATTTTCTTGAGTTCCTTATGCGGAGTTGAATTAGGAATAAGGAACTGGTTCCCTATTCCTTATTCAACTTTAACATTTCTTTTAAAATATTGTTATGCAGATGAAATGATTATAATGATTTATCCTTGCAATTCTAATGCAGATTTATCAAACATCACTGCAACTGGTGTCTGTTTTAAAGTTAACTAATATATTTCTGTTCCTTATTCAGAGTCGAATGAACTTGAACTTTTTATTCAACATATTTTATGCATATGCTTTATGCAATGTTTTTAATGATTGATCCTTGCAATAATAATGCACGTTTATCAAAAATAACAGTTACTGCAATTGATGACTTTCTTTACGTACCTGTTTTGTTTCTTATTCGGGATTGAATAAAGAACAAGGAACTGGTTCCCTATTTCTTATTCGACTTTAACATTTTTTTCAAAGTATTTTATGCAGGTGCTTTATTTAATGATTTTAATGATTGATCCTTGCAATTCTTATGCAGATATATCAGAAAGAACTGCAACTGCTGTCTCTATTGGCGTATATTCTTCTGTTCCTTATTCGGATTTGAATATTGAATAAGGAACTGGCATATTTTCAAAATATTGTTATGCAGATGCTTTATGCAATTTTTTTTTTAGATTTAAGGAACGGGTTCATTATTCATGGATCGACTTGAATTGTTTAACTAGAAATGTCTCATCACGCCACGGATGCCCCCCGCGTGCACCCACATTTCAGATGTTATAATATTAAGTTCCAAATTTGTTTTGATTGTTTTTATTTATTTTTTTTTCATTTAAAGTTCAAAATTCAGCCCTTAAAACTATTCAATGTTAACACAAACCATTTTTATTTTTTATACAAAGTTCAAGGTACTGACACTTTTCAGTGTTAACCTGTTGTAAATTGCATATTTCATATGTGTAGCCAAAATAATACATAAATTTCCACATGATATGAGTGCTGAAACTGAAAATTCAAATTTTCAAGGGAGATAATTTTGTCCAAAATCGTTTAACCATGACCAAATTCAAACTTGAACTGTTTATTTCTAAGATTTATCTACATGTCAAATTTGAGTTAAATGTGCACAACCATTGGGGAGATAATGAACGGAAACTAAAAATATCCGACTCTTTGCAAAGTGTATTCTTTTGACTAATGTCTTATGTTAAATTTGAGTAAATATGTACGGAAAAGGGTAACACTGTATGCCCCAGCCATTTAATAGCTCGGCATAAAAATATGACGATTCGGATGCTTTATTCTATGATTATGATGTTTGACTTGGTGCAATTTTCACTTGTTTAATAAAAAAAGAAGCGTTCTAGTTTTCTGACCAACCATAATTTTATCTTATACAAATACTAATTCTGCTGTTCCTTATTTAGATTTGAATAAGGAATCAGGAACTAGATCCCTATTCTTTATTCGAAAAGGGACTGATTCCTTATTCGAAAAAGGAATAAGGAATAGGGAACTAACTTTATATACATCATTTTGACATGTATTTATAAACTGTATACTGTTATATCTAAATAGTAATTAAAAGACCCAACATATTTATTTTTAAATATTTCGAATACAATAAAATGAGAAAGCTCTTGCCTTTTCAAGTATGAAGTCAGTTTCCAACATTTTGAATGACACTTTTGCATAAGAATATCCTGTTTCCGTAAAAGTCGTTCTTTTACACAATGATAACGTCAAAAACTCTTCAGATTGGCCTTCAATGGAACGTAATATTCTTTATTTTTCTTGTATGTAATCTTTACATTAGTAATATGTACATACATACAACGAAAGCAAATGAAACGGCAAATAAGCAAAGACTCAAAGACTAGATAACCGATTAAAATGATTGAACGATATCAGTACTTGAAGACATAGACGACATATCAGCCACCTTGCTTATAATTTAAACATGTAATAAAAGTGATGCAATGTAATACGAATGAATAACAACATCAATATTATAGTCAACAAACTATTCAGCCCATCGAACTCTTAATTGTCTGCTTATGGGTATAGAGAATCCGTGAAATAAAAAATTATACATTTATATGTTATGCTTGTGTGTGGACTACTGATTTATCTTTAAAGATTACATTGAATAATTTCAAAGTGAAAATTATCGAACTATAACTTCAAACTTTTCAATGAAAGGACTGTTTTTAAAGATTTTCACTTCACCATATGGTACCTTACCTATAGGGACAAATATAATATCCTTTCCGTTATATAATTGAATATAAAACAAGAACTAGTTTGGTAGGATGAAACTGAATCTTCTTGATATATGTATGTTTAATGATTTAAACAAGAGATCATACATTTTTTCTTTTAAATTAACATAAATAATATCATCGCTATTTAACTTTGATTTATGAATTAATTTTTCAGCTCAAAGCTTCATATATTCGTGAGAATTTCGCGATAAAATGAGGCATTGAGTGGGCAAAACTGATTTTATTATACAAGTTATTATTGAGAAAATTTCAAATAATTTTTTATCAATTTTTAAGCAAAAAATAAAACGAAAATTTGATTCTTTGTTCTTTAAGATGTATTTTTATTTCATCTCGTGAACTTCGAAACATTATTCTCACGTGCAGTCACGCCACTTGTGTCAATTAAAAAAGCTCACACGATGAAATGAAAAATTTCTTACAGCACACAAACAAACATCCATTACATATTTATTATTCAATTTAAAATAGATACTCGTACCTTCTTCAGAAACTGTAATATTTGGAACAACACCATATGACACAAATTCAAATGTAGGCAGTTGTATACTAGATTCTTGAAAGTCTAAAAATATAGTGATACAAAGATCAGTATGGTCTCTTTGTGTTTTTAAAATCATCGCCAAGTATCTTTCACATTAATGAATATAAAGGAAGTGATGTATAGATAAATCGGCGGAAAGCAAAGTGACAAAAATGAAAATTGCAGACTCTTTTTGAATAAGTTGGTAAGTGATATTTGAAAGTGAGAATCGCGAATCTGATTAACACGAATTCAATCAGAAATTCACCAATATCAAAGAATTAAAATATACCTGAGGGACATGACAAGCCGATTTTATAAATGCTGTAATTTCCTGGAATCCATTGTCCTTTATCAAGCATGGCCTCATTTCGGAATTTTACACACAAAAAAAGCGTCATCATTGATGTTTTCCAATGGTATGACGAGACATAATAATCACCAAAGAATCTGTGCAATCTGTTGCTGTCTTGGTTGACAGTAATATTGCCAATCAAATAGCTTTTCAGCCATCCTCGTGATTGTGACTCCGGGCAGCCATATGCGGACATTGGTATTGCGTATGGCCCTGGTGGCCACATGCTCAGCTTTTCCTGTCTTTCTGTAAAAAGGGATTGTAATGCAGGTTAATATATATTGTAAAAGCTTTTTAAAGGTATTTCGTCACACAGAATGTTTCCAAAATTTCAAATGTTTAAATAATATTTCGTTCCAAATTTGTTTGCACAAATCATTTTCTATTTCATTCAAGGCCCTTAAACTATTTAATGTTAATACAAACCTTTTTATACAAAGATAAATGCCTGTTAACCTTTTGCAAATGACATAATAGTATTCCATATTTGGATAAGAAATCGTGATTTAAAAAAAAAAAGATTTCCAATTCCAATGGGAAAAGTGTCATCAAATGTCAGACCATAACCTAATCATCTTATTATAACCCCGAAACGAAGTTTTGGGGGTATAAAGAAGTCATCCGGTGGTCGGTCGGTCGGTTGGTCAGTCGGTCTGTCAGTCCAGCGGTCCGTTGTTTTTTCTTTGTCCGGTGCATAAATTGAAGACTAATAGTTGGAATTCAATACAACTTCAAACAATGGTCAACCACATTAAGAGAAAGTGCAGTGCACAAGAACAATAACTCCATCTTCCTTTAATACAGAGTTATTGCCCTTTGTTACTTTTCCTTGTCCAGAGCATAACTTGGAAACTACTGGTTGAAATTCAAAACAACTTCATATATTGGTCAAGCACATTAAGGGAAAGTGCAAAAACCATAACAGTATCTAAAGTAATTACAGAGTTATTGTCCCTTTGTTACTTTTCCTTTGCCTTTTTTGTCCGAAGCATAATTTGAAGACTTATGGTTGGAATTCAATATGACTTCATACAAAGTTCTAAAACAAAAGTGTAGTGCATAAGAACCATTACTCTATCTTGACTTATTACAGAGTTACTGCCCTTTGTAACTTTTCCTTTTCTGGAGCATAATTTGAAAACTACTGGTTGGAATTCAAAACAACTTCATACAATGTTCAAGCACAATAAGAGGAAGTGCAGTGCTCAAGAACCATATCTCTTTCTGAAGTAATAACAGAGTTTTAGCCCTTTGTTACGTTTCCATTGTTTGTTTTTTTTTGTCTGAAGCATAACTTGAAGACATATAGTTGGAATTCAAAACAGCTTCATACAATGATCAAGCACATTGAGAGAAAGTGCAGTGCACAGGAACCATAACTCCATCTTGACTCATTTAAGAGTTTTTGCCCTTTGCTAATTTTCCTTGTCCGGAGCATAACTTGAAACGTACCGGTTGGAACTCAAAACAACTTCATATAATGGTCAAGCTTAATATGAAGAAGTGCAATGCACAAAACCATAACTCTGCCCACAGAAATTATAAAATTATTGCCCTTTGTTACTTTTCCATTGCTTTGTTCTTGTCCAGAGCATAACTTGAGAACAACTAGTTGGAATTCAATACAATTTCATACAATGGTCAGGTATATTGAGAGGAAGCGCAAAAACTATCATTAAATGTGATTAATAACCTCGCAAGACTTCTTTGGAAATGAGGAAGTTACTAGTAACAAAATACCTTGTAAAATGGAATATGGAATACTATTATGTCATTTGCAAAAGGTTAACAGGCATTTATCTTTGTATAAAAAGGTTTGTATTAACATTAAATTGTTTAAGGGCCTTGAATGAAAAAGAAAATGATTTGTGCAAAATACCAAATTCGACCTTGGCTTGTATATTTTTGTTAAATACCTGTATATGCGAATTCAACCTTACACTAATACTTGTACTAAGAATTATTGTTTTGTGGTTAGTTATTATGTAATAAGTGTCAATTTTCGTCCGTATAACTAGGGTTTGGTAACTTAAAGTACCGTGCCAATGACATTTCGGTGGCATTAAGACGTTGTGATAAAAAAGCAACAGTTGGTAATATTTTTATTAATGATTTGTTGGTGTATGACATAAGATAAATTATCTGTAGGGACTCAAATAAAACGTCATAATAATAAATATATGTTAACATTTTGACGCATTAATTATTTATTGTTGTAAATCATTCTCAGTTATTTGGTTATACATACACTTCTTTCCAAGCTCGCATTAATATGCATTATGTAGAACCTTTAAATGTTTGGACTTAATACAATTTACTCATCATAATCATGTTACGTGACTGACTCATATTTTATTCAGTCCTTACATGGGAATTTACGTAGTTAATTGTACAGAATTCTTAAATTAACTGTATTATACATTACTAAAAGAACGCATGTTTGTAAGTATGTAAATGAGCTACCCATTAAAGAAAATTAATCAAAGAAAAAAACTATTCTTTTTTAAACATAATAATTAACTTGGTCGAAAGAAACAGCAAACAATATAAGATAAACGTAGTACACACAAAATGAGGTTTAAACAAATTCCTGCAGATTTGTCTCCTAACATAGCATGCTTTGTGTTACATTTCTTGGAATAAGATAAAGTTTGTTACAACAATAAACGGCTGTACGTCATATAGGCATGAATATCACAAGGAACTTTCTGATAAATTCACAGCTCTATAGTATAAAAAAACACAACGAAATTTACTTTACATTCAATTACCACAGGATATTAAACACAAGTAATAATATCTCTTATTTGGAGCTCCAAATTATATAAACGACAATGACTTGTATGTCATATGGGCAGCTTTACGCAATCAAAAGCTACTAATTTCGCATTAAGAACTCTACGGAATAAAACACACATTGACAAAACCTTACATTCACAGCTCTACAGCAACATAAACACGAGGATATTGGACTCACATTCTCAGTTGTTCAGAACTAGAAACACAAGATACCTTATCTGACATTCATAACTCGCTAGCATATAATGTTGATATCAAAGCAGAACATGGGACGGCAAATAGGCCCTCCATACATGTTACTAAAAAATGGTGATTTTAAACGCTGGACACATGACTGTGAATATTATAAATTAATTCATCAGTTTACATACTGTTTGCATCCGTAGCGCCGCGGAACAGTCACTTAATGTCATGAGCTGACCGGATTGCATCAGCTTATAATTAAAGGGAGGAATGTATCGAATCAAAAATGGAAAGTTATACCGCACAGTTTAATAATGAAAATGACTTTAGCAATTTTTACTTTTTTTCCTTTTTTTTCCACCGGTTCAAAAGAAACGGACAGAAAACGACATTGTTAAAAGACGGATGGACGGGCATAAGAATGTTATATTATTTAACCCCAAAGTTCTTTCAGGTTCAGTTCAAAAGTTTATTTATAAAGCATGTAAGTACAATAAAAATAGCACAATATAATTAAACATTGGATATGGATTACAGTGAGTAAATATAGTGCTTTCAGAAGACGCAATAATATCTTTATCATATTTGTTTGTTCACAATACTTCTTTTTTGTTATATCATACAAACGACATAAACCAAACACTAAATGTATGCTAGAAATTATGGCGATATGATTAATTGTGCGTTCCTTTTTCTTATTGCAGAGTAAATGAATTTAACTGGATATATTGGAGTTAAGAATTTCCAATGTATTAATGATTTTTATTCTTAATTTAATTTGATGCGGAATTACTAGTTAAAAATGATATTCACTTTCAACGTGGCTCAAATTACAAAGGCTTCACAGTATTTCTGCTTTTATTAAATTTTCTTATCTTCCTGTTTCAATACGAAATATATGGGACGAAGTTCTTAATCTGAATAGTGCATTTCAATATTTATCTTCTTGAATAACAACCTTTTCTAATATACAATAAAGTTTAATAGGTGCATAGGTGAATATAACTACAGTCTTCCACAGTTATTTATGTCAGAAAACAACATTTGTTTTTCAGTATCGTATATCTCCGTTGTTGAAAGATTGGGATTTCAATATCTCATTCATACTTGTGAAAATCCATGATAAATAAAGAACTGATTTTTAAGATATGTCCGATTATTATAATTTTTATTATTATTATTATTATTATTATTATTATTATTATTACTATTATTATTATTATACGGGAATCTATCAGGTTTCCCCATAAAGTTATCGTATTTTTGTTTGTAGACTTTTTTTAGCATACATTGCCTTAATATCTTTATCGAGTTTACAGCTAACATTTTAGTAATGGTTTTCTGCCAGCGGAAAGCTCTGTACCTGTCTATCTTGTCAAAACACTGTTGCTACAAGAAAGTGAATGAAGTCATTTAAATCGCTGTAATGCACATTAAAAGCTTATAGTCATCATTGTATTATGACTTTTAAACATTCTTAGACTAGTAAAATAATAATATTTCTTAGAAATATGCCATAAACACATTTATTACATACAGACGTAATAAACAGTCTAATATGGATGGTCATTTAATATGATTTCCATATTCTTCTACATTGGACAAATTTGTTTCAACTAGTGAATATGATAATTATGGTTCCCATGAATATGATTTTTATGAATTCTTTTGTTCACTGTTGTTTGAACCATTGATATTGCAGCTATATTAGGATCACATAATAACACAATCAATGAGTTATATGATACATTAAACAAATTGGTCATTGAATTATGATACATTAGTACAAAATAATCAATGAATAATGAGACATTAAAAAAATAGAAAAATAAATAATGTTGTTTCTCATTTCATATGCCTTGTAACTGAATGAGTAGAGATCTCGCGATGCGCGGAATCTATTAAAATCCATGTTTAAAGTTAAAGGCACTTTTAGTCCAAGAGATGGCGGGGTTTTATTGCAATTTACCGTATCACCAAAAGAAACATTGCCATTATAAAGTGTATTGTTTGTAGTTTCTAAAAAAAACATTTCTTAAGTTACGCAGCCCGGGCAAAAGTACAAAAATTCAAGATGGCCGCCAATATGGCCGCCAAAAATTACAAAATATCATATAATTTTTGTTTCTTGATTTTTTACAAACAGATTTTGTACAAACTAGTTTAAATAGCACAATATCAGGTAAAGTATGGCTACTTTATGATTGAATCAAGCAAAAATGACAATTATATTGCAAACTTTAAAATTATCACTATCAATTTAC